ATTACAACGGACTTGTGCTAGAGGACCTAGCAAATTCCTAAGAGTACACCTTATCTATCTAAGGCTCCTATCTGTTGTAACCGGAGACTGAAAGTCAGGTAATTTAATGGTGCCTGTCATTTCCATACTTTCATGTAACCACAGTCCAGCTGGGAACCACCATGGATGAAAAAGTCTTACTATATTTGATAAAATGTTTTCATTTCTTTATAATTCCTATACTGTGGATTTCAATGTTAAACAAAACACCTAACGATGACATAAAGAGGCTGTCCATTTGTCTTTTCTGATAGAGGACAGCCCTCTCTTCGAAGGGCCACCTAATCCAAGTTCACTTTCAAAGAAGAGAAATAATCTCAAAGGAATTATTAGTGACGTCTACACTGACCATCTAATAGTTAGCATCAGGACCTGAATCCAATAGCTCCAATCAGGTTAGATCCACTGAATCAATTGCTGAAAAGTGAGCAAGAATTTGTAAACTCCATTTATAAAATTGGATTCCTCTGGTTGGGATTTGGACTCGGATCCTCACCATCAGATTAGACTAACAGAAAAATCCCCTGCTTCTAGCCCTTCCCATTTTGGTTATGTATTTCTCATTGTATTAAAATAGTCAGATCATTTCTATGCACACAATTTAGCAAATGGAAAGATGATGGTGCCATGCAAGAGGTACAGGGTGCATCTATATTATAGAATTAATGCAGTTTTACACCACCTTAGCTGCTATGGCTCAATGCTATGGAATTATGGAATAATACAAAGTCTTTAGTCTTTTCTGCCTCACCAAACTACAAATCCCAGGATTCCATTTCATAGGGACATAGCAGTTAATATGGTATTGAACTGCATTAATTCTGCAGTGTAAATGTTGCATTAGAGTACCTCCTGCCACAATATATCCAAAATATGTAAATTGTCGTAACCCAGAGGATTCTTTCTATAGGAAGCACCGTGGCTTGAAATTCTTTCTCTCTTTCCTTCTTGTTCACCAGAACACAAGACTTTATTCCTCCTACTGTTCTTTATGCAGCAGCTCCATTTTTCAAAAGACTGATTTGTTGTAGGGGTACAGCTAGGCATCTTCTGGCTGTCTATAGACACCTTAAAATCTGAACTTAAAATCTGTCTTCATTTCATGAGATACTTACAACCTAACTACCCATCCTTAGCACATGATTGTTCAAACCTGGACTGGGGCTTGAATGCACAGGAGGAAAGCTCTGTTTTGATTTTTCACAGATGCAAACTACATATTCTAGTCAAGAATACAAAACAAATAGCTCTTGATGTGGTCATCAAACAATATGGGTGACTTCGTAGGATAAGAACCCCCAAAAGGTTTAATGTGTGATGTGTTAATTTTCTGACCCGCATAAATCATCCATCTTTCAAAAAAGAAGAAATGTAGCCTTTCTAAAACGAACACAAGAGGATACAAATTTATATCAAATTCCCATGTGCCAATTGGCAAGCACACATCCAAACTGGTAAATAAATTATAAATTTAATAGAAATACAATGCATCTCATGACAGAATGATTGTATTGTAAATATTTTAATTTTCTGGAAGACAACTTGGGTCCCATTCTAGTAGGCACTCCCTCATCTTTTTCCTGGCCCATTATTTTTAATCTAGTCTTAACCTTCAGTTAAAAGACTGCCCTTTATAAAGTAGGACATATGATCATTTTAATATTTAAGAACAGAGTGCTGAAGTTAAAAATTGTATTATACAAGATGTTGTTTGCAGGGATGAATAGTCAGAGAAGTGGTTAATTTCTTTTTACTTCACTTGAGTGGCTGATCAGTGAATGCTGTGAACATATAATTCATGCCTTCTTCCTTCTGCAAAGATTTATTGAGCTGTTTCTGAGGCTGTCACCCTGTTTACCTACAACTCACAGCTCAATCATTTTTAACTCCTTACAGCTAGTCTCAAAATGCAGGGAATTACTAAGGCTGCATCTACACTGTTAATGCAGTTTGATGCCACTTTAACTGCCATGGCTCAATGCTATGAAATCCAGGGATTAGTCATTTAGTGAGGATCCCTGGGGGAATCAAATCCTATCCTTTGGCAGGAAGGGCTAAAGATCTTGAAAAACGACAACTCCCAGAATCCCATAGCATTGACCCATGGAAGTTAGTGAAATAAAACTGTATTAATTCCACAGTATAGATGCACCCCAAGTTTTAATAAGCACACAGCTTGCTTTATATTATATTTCATTTTTTCAAAAAAAATATTTTATTATGGTAATTTCTTTGGGGGTCAAAATACCATAAAGCTCATCTGGGAAACTGTTAGGCAATATTAGGTGCTCTAGCTTTATTTTAGAGGAAGGAATGGGCGAAAACACTTCTGAATATACCTTGTCTAAGAAAAAAAATATGAAATTCAAAGGAGTTACCATAAATCAATAAGTGGCCTGAAGTGCACACACATACAAGTGGTTTTACAATTAGAAAAAAAACTCGAAAACTCGATCTACAATTATATTGTCTAGTTTTATTTGTATTACTACTTCCTTCCTGTGTCTATAGGTTTGTGTGGGGTGGTACTGGTTAGCAGTGGTTGCTGCTGGCTCCCATGCAAGTAGCATGATTAGTCTACCCCAAGCTTCAGTGTATTAGTCTTTTCTTTGTAGAGAAGCTGTCTAAGGTGCTCAACCTCAATCCGCAAATAGGTTCAGAATCAAGGACAGCTCATTTGAATTTCAAAGTATGATCTAGAATGAATTCACCACCATGCTTATGTAAGAGGCACTAACTGAAGTTTTGAGAGCAAAGGGGAGTTGCCAGTTCCAATATCCTCAGTGTGGTCCTCCTTCAGCACCCAATGGGATCCTCTTCATTAACTTTCTCAGCAACTGAGGCTTTATAGTTTCTTTTAGAATTAAGATTCTTCTTCATGCCACATATAAAAATTTGAACAGATGAGGGTGATATCTTATACAGAATGAATATTAAAGTAGATGCATGCATAAAAGAAAGAAAATAAAGAATTTCCATTCATAAAATGAATTATTTATCCCTACTCAAATTTGTCATTTAGTGACTCAGTATGGTCATATTATCTTGTTTACCTCAAAGGTAATATTTAAGTTAAAGGAGATGCAGAAGTCAAGGTAAACCTTTGCCACCACCCCACCTTCACTACACAGATTTGTGCAACTGCACCTCTCATCAGCTTCATATATTATGGCCCGTGGTTGGGGATGAAGAATAGTTGAATACTTTTTGGAGTATAACATATTTCCCTGGTTTAAGTAAATGATCATTTCCCCATTTTTGTTAATGAAAACAACATATATAATTAAAATCTTGGAGTTTTGGAAATTTGCAGAAATGATCTTTGCAGCACAAACTGACGCCCCTTCTACATTGCCATATAAAATCTGGATTATCTGATTTATATTGGATTATATGGCAGTGTAGATTTATACAATCCAGATGATCCATTTTGATGATCTGGATTACATGACAGTGTAGAAAGGGCCTTAATTACATAAGGTGCATCTAGATTGTAGAATCAATGCAGTTTGACACTACTTTAATTGCCATGGCTCAGTGATATAGAATCATGGGAGCTGTAGTTTTTCCAAGTCTTTAGACTTCTTTGCTAAAGAGTGGTGGTGCCTCACCAAATTCCAACTCCCATCATTTCATAGCATTGTGCCATGGGAGTTAAAGTAGTGTCATATAGTGCAGATGTACCCATAGCCTCTCACTGGCTCCAGTAGAGACTACATTTTAAAGAAGTCACAATCAGAAAAACATCCAACTACACCTAAAAAACAAGTGTTTTGCAGACTTATGGTGAGTTTTGATTTAAGAGCATTTTTTTAAAAAAAACAAAAAAACAGCAACACCTTTTTAATTCATAACTTCTACTTATATGAAAAGGACTGGACTATGTCTATGGCAATGATCAAACTGTACACAAGAAGGGCAATGGGTTATGTAAACTCCATGTTTGTTTCCTTGAGCATAGCCATTCCTTTCAAATATCATGAAGTGATATCCACTGTATATGTCAGGTTTAGATGTTCTTCTTCCTACATACTTAATAAGCAGACCTTGTTTGTTTGTTTCTACTTCTTTGGGTGTGTTTGAAATACATGTGTGATCAAGTATACTCTGCTTTCAGTGAAACATATATTTGTGACTTCCAAAATCCTATGCACAGGAATAGGGAACATGCTAGATTCCAATTATCATCAGCATGATCAATGTTGAAGGATACTATCTTGTCAGCACGTGGAAATCCACAGGTTCACTGCCCTAACAAGCATATATATGAAAAAGGAAGAGAAAAAGATGGAGTATGCTCAACTTATTTAACGTTTCATTTTTAAATATTTATTAAAAATCAAATACTCCTGTGTGTGGGTACTGTAAAAGTGAAGAAAGAATAGGTGATGAAATACAAGTTTTAAAGAAATCTGCTAGAGTACAAACTAAATTTGTAATTGAGTCATAGTATAAACAGATTGAAAAAGCTGGTGCCTGTAATAATTTTCCAGTGGGTCTTATTCATATTTGGACTTGGAGGGATGTAGAAGCTAAGAAATGCACATAGTACACTAAATAAAAATTATGGAACATGAGCGAGGGGGGTGGGGTGGGAATGAAACATCAATTTAACGTGTCAACACAATATAGATATAGATACAGATACAGATACAGATACAGATACAGATACAGATACAGATACAGATACAGATACAGATATAGATATAGATATAGATATATACACATAGAGAGAGAGAGAGAGAGAGAGAGAGAGAGAGAGAGAGAGAGAGAGAGAAAGTTTTAGGAATTTTTGGATCTACTACTCTAGAATTCCTCAGACAGCATGACCACTGTTGGCTGGGGAATTCTGGGAAGTCTGTTTAAAAAAATGAAAACCTTTCTTTCCAAACTCTGATTGACATGATATAAAATGCCATGGATTATGAGAGAAAACTTCACATATTTTAGTCAGGACTCACTTTCAACCCCATCAGGCAGTACAGCACACTGATGACACTCATCGGCAGGACATAAAAGAGAAAAGATGTCAGCTGGATGATGCAGTTGTAGATCCACATGGGCTTGACCACAGCACATGTCTCAGAGGCTGGGACCTCTGTGTGGTTTGGAAAAAACTGCTGCACAATGCCGTGGGTGCTGGTGTTGGGGAGAGAGAAAAGGATGGACAGGAGCCATAGGGCAATAATGATCCTCAAAGCACGTCGCCTTGTGCTCTTCAGTTTGGCCCGGAAGGGATGAAGGATGGCAATATATCTCTCCACACTCACTGTTGTGACATTCAGAATGGAGGCAAAGCATACAGTCTCAAAGAGGGCTGTCTTAAAATAGCACCCAACTGGTCCAAACAAGAAGGGGTAGTTGCTCCACATTTCATAGATTTCCAAAGGCATTCCCAAGAGCAAGAGCAACAAGTCTGAAATAGCAAGACTGAAGAGATAGTAGTTAGTGGGAGTCTTCATGTTTCGGTGCTTAAGAATCACAAGGCACACTAAAAGGTTGCCGGACACTCCAACTATGAAAATCATAGCATAAACCCAAGACATAGGTAGGAAGACAGGGCTCCGTTTGGGTCCATATAAAAAGGCAAGATACTCCTCGGTGCTATTGAAGTATCTCCTCACAGGCTCTATTTCTTCTTCCCTTTGGTGAAGACACCAGGAGATGTTCATCCAATCCATTGTAGGTACTTGTATAGGTCCAATTTCACTTAGGTTGTCTGAGATGTGCTTGTTTCAGATTGCTCTCTATTCGAAACAGAAATAGGAGGGAGAGGGAGAGACAGGGAGAGGAGGAAGGAAAAAGAGGCAGGGGGAACAAAAGCCAGAGAATGTCCTTTCAGATTTGAAGCTTAAAAGCACTGAGAGAAGTGCGTGTGTGTCTGTTCATGTGTATGTCTGCCTTTGCTATTACAATCATCCCCCTAAAGAGTCCTTTCAACAGCAAGCTCCTCCTTTCACATATACTCATTGGCTAGCTACATGAATAAAATTATACGATGATTGAGCTGGTCTTGGCTACTTGCATCAGTGTTCTCAAGAGAGAGATATATACTGAGCAGTTGGTATAGGTGAGAAGAATGGAGACTTCTTTCCAAAACCTTTAATCTAAGATGTCTACAAAATTCTGATCCTTATTAGAGACTGAGAAACCAGGGATTGAGGTGATGCAGGCTGAGTTTAAAAGCTGAATCAAAAGTTATTCTAATATGATTTTTTTTCTTGCTGGAAGCCTGTGAGTACACATCACAAACAGTGCAAACAGCACACTGTTGAGTGCAGTGAGTGCAAACAGAACACTGCCTTGTGTTCTGTTTGCAAACTGCCTCTATGGGTTTGAATGTTGTGTATTGTACAGCAAACAAAAATAGCAATGGAATAGTTTTTTCTAATATGTATAACTTTGAACAGTAATATGCATTTTATATTGCTAGTTTTTTAATATTTGCAATACATGCATGAAAATGGAAATTCACTACAATACCACAGATCTGAAGAAGCAATCATCCTGTAAAAACAGGTGGTTTTTTAATAAAGCAAACTCAAATTAGAAATTAAAAACCTCACATTAAAATAGCACTTTTCCCAAATGCCAAGAATTGCTCGGTATGTTGTGTCTGAATGGTTTAATGAATTATACATTTCATCATTTGCAATGCAATAAAGTATGACAGGGAGCCAGCATGATGCAGATCTTTGAGCATTGGACTACAGCTTTAGAGATCAGGGTCCAAATCCATACTCTGCCATGGAAACCTGTTGGGTGACCTTGGAAAAGTCAAACATTTTCAGCCCATAGGTGGACTCCTTCTGAACAAAACTCACTAAGAGAACTATATGAACTTAGACTCACCATACATCAGAAATGTCTTGAAAGCACAAAACAAGTAACAAAAAGGGTAAAAAAAAGTTCCTATCAGTAAAACTCAGGTACCAAAGGAGAAATGGGATTGGAGGCAGCAATGTGTTTGATCTGCTATGTCCAGTCAAAACCTGACAGTTTTCCATCTCTGCCTATGGAAAGTCCTCTTCTTGTAAAATAATAATAATAAGAATAATAAGAATAATAATAAGAATAATAAGAATAATAATTTTTATTTATACCTCGCCACCATCTCCCCAAAGGGGACTCAGGGCAGCTAACATGAGGCCAAGCCCAAAGGTACAATACAGCAAAATAAAATGCATAATGCAGACAACAAAAATACATCAGAATAAAATACATACAGTAACAAAATAAAATTAATAAATAAAATTGACATAATGTAAAATCAAACACAATGGGCAAGCCAAATGGATGAGGTAAAATGATAAAACCCTGGATGAGGTAGAAATAGAAAAATGTGATTTAGAGGAGCCCAAAAAGGATGAACAGTGGGTTTAGGTTTTTAGTTTAGGATGGGGGAAAGTGCATCATAGGACAACACTGTAGATGGAACAAATGGTTACTCTCTAAAGGCATATTGGAAGAGCCAAGTTTTCAAATTTTTCTTGAAGGCTACTAAGGTGGGGTCTTGTCTAATCTCACCAGGTAGTGAGTTCCATAGTCGGGGGTCACAGTGGAGAAGGCTTTCTCCCTCGTTCCCACAAGTCTTGCCTGTGATAGAGGGAGTGAAAGGAGGGCCTCACCAAAGGATCAGAGGGATCATGCAGGTTGGTGGTAGGAGATGCGGTCATGAAGGTACAAGGGTCCCAAACCATTCAGGGCTTTATAGGTAATAACCTGCACCTTGACCGCTCCCTGTAATTTACCCCAGTTATTAATCTGGCTGCTGAACGGTGGACCAATTGAAGTTTCTGGGCCATCTCCAAGGGAAGCCCCACGTAGAGTGCATTGCAATAGTCCAGTCAAGAGGTAACTAAGGAATGGACCACCATGGTCAAGTGTCATATGGTCTGCAGTTGATGGTGGTTGGTGATGGAAGGGTTAATGTGAGTATTAGTTCTAGAGGGTTTGGTGATCTGTAAGTGGGAGTTCATGGGTGAAAGCAATTAAGGGTGGAGGTAAGCAAGAGATGGGTTGCAGCTGGGTGTTTCTGGATATAAGGAACTAGCCTTGGGACTGATCTTTGGGAGAAAAAGTATCTGTTGTATTTTGGTGGTGGATGCTGTTCGTTTTTCCCCCAGGTCTGTTAGATTTTTCGGTATCCTGACCTGTCTCCTGTAACCTTGGAATCCTGGAACCTTGAACCTTTGGACTGGCTTTTGACTACAGTATAGACTCTTGATCCCTGGACTTTGTTTATTGAACTCTCGGCATTTGACAATTGGACTGGACCCTTTTGACTACAAAGTTATTTTTGCTATCAGTTTTTGTTTATTCTGTGGCTGCATGTTATCTTTGTGTTTTATATTTTGGACTACAAAAACAGCCAGCAAGTAAGTGCTGTTTTAATTAAACTGTTTGTTAAAACTGGAAGTTCTGATTAATCTCTACCTAAACAAGGTAGAGCCCTAGCAATGTGACATCAAGTCAGACTTCACGAGGTATGGTCGCAGCTGGTGCACGAGTTTTAATTGTGTGAAGGCCCTCCCAGCCACCGCCGACACCTGCGCATCAAATGTCAGTGCTGAATCTAGGAGGACCCCCAAGCTGCGGACCTGTGTCTTCAGGGGGAGTGCAACCCCGTCAAGCGCAGGTTGCCATAGAATACCCCAGTCAGATGTACAACTGCCTGGAGGACCTCTGTCTTGTCAGGATTGATCTTCAGTCTATTCATCATCATCCAGATCATCACAGCAGTCAGGCACTGGTTCAGCACCTGAGGGGCTTCCTTGGATTCTGATGGAAAAGAGTAGTGGAGTTGGGTGTCATTTGCATAGAGATGGCCCCAAGCTCCAAAACTCTGGATGACCTCTCCCAGCGGTTTCATGTAGAAGTTAAAAAGCATGGGGGGGGGGGCAGAATGGAACCTTGTGGGACTCCACAGATCAATGGTCAGGGGTCTGAACAGGTGTCCCCCATCTTCACCAACTGAAAGGACCAGAGCCATGGCAAAACTGTGCCCCCAAGTCCCATCCCGGCGAGTCGTCCCAGAAGGATACCATGGTCGACGGTATCGAAAGCCGCTGAGATGTCTAAGAGAACCAGCAGGGTCACACTCCCCGAAAAACAGATCACAGTCCAGCTTAATTGCATAACCCTAGTAGATATTAATGTGGCCTAATAAAACCTGTTAGTTTCTCATCCCTGCTCTGAGTAAAGCTTTCTTCTTGTAACATAATCAGTTCCTAGAGGCCAGCTGGAGACTTTGTCAGATAGTTGGCTGAATTAGCAATCTACTAGAGGAAGGAATTAGGGACTTTGGTGAAAAGTTGGTTGCTAGACTGGCACCTAGGGTTATGTAGGGTGCTGGGAAGAGAAGTGGAATGGGCCTTGGTGTGAGATCTGCAGAAATCTCTGCACACAAAGATGGGAGGCATGACAGACCCACCCATTGAAATGACTGGTTATTGACATAGCATGACAAACAATGTATGACAGTGGACCTTGATGTCTTACTGCTTTAATGAGATGGGGAGGTTTTTACAATATCTTCGGCTTCAATAATTTCTTCTGTGCTAGGGAGGCTCCTCTGTTGGCTTGGGATCTGCAAATAGCTAATAACATGTAGTTCATGTTCACTTCATCATATGTGTCTCCTTGTTATTTCTTAGTGGGTGTAATGAGGCTCAGAGTTGGCAGTATGTAGTATATTCTGAATTCAGTAAATCGTGGGTTTCAGTAAGTACACATGACAATTAGCAAACTTGTTTACTACAACCTTAAGTTCCACTCCAGCAAGACTAGTAACAGAGATCACAGTTGACAGGGTTTCATAGCCAAAATATTAAGAAACAATTTATTTTGTAAATTGGTTGAAATCAGAATGTTAGCTTTCTATACTTGTTTTTAAAATTGGAAATTATCTTATTGTTATAGCCTATGATACCATTCTTCCTACTGTCTTTGTGCAATTTTAATGTTTCATTCAATATACTGCCGCTAAGCAGATGTGTACCTACTGAATACTTGGTTGGGAATCCCAAAAAAACCTCCAGATAAAAGCAAGGAATAATAAATGCATTTTGTACAGCTAAATTATGCAAGTGGCCTCTTGTGTTCTAGCTCACAGCTGGTTTCAAAGCATATTGTCTATTCCTAGTTTCAAAATTAGGATGAACAATTGGGAAAATTGTCAAGAGCTGAAATTACTGCTTATGGTTCATTTTATATGGACATTGATATAAAATAAATGTTGAGGGTTGCTACCACTCTAACTTCTGATTCAGTTAGATCATGAGCAAAATCATCAACATCAGCTTAGGCAATGTACAATACATTTTTCAGCATTGGTATAAAATAATGATGAAGGCAATGGCATGTATAATAGAAGTAAACAAACAGCATACATTTAGGACCTAATCATGTGATGGAGGGGGAAAGCGGAGGGAAATGACTTATTTCATTTCCTACCATTGAGGTCCCATGTCTTACAATCAGTTGCCATCGCATGTACTTTGTCTGCCTTTCCCCAATTCCTGAAAACAGTCTTCCATCAATTTCCCTGAGCTGTCACAGCAGAGTCCCATGGGCAACATACATGGCCTTGTGTCATGTGATGGCCTCCATGGGGCTCCATTTCAGCATAAAATAGGCAAGGAATAATGGGATAATCCACTCTTATTTCTATTAGCATTCATTACAAAGGCGGAGTCAAGATGGCGACGGAGTAGCAGCAACTCTGCCGAGCTCCGGAGAAGAAGCTCTCCCGAAAAAAGATTTACAACTTAGCCAACTTAGCTAAATCGCTCTCTGTGAGAAAGATTTACATCTGAGCCAAACTGTTCCCCAGAGAAGATTTACAACTGAGTTTAATTGCTCTTCGTGAGTAAGATTCGCGGGAGGGGAAGATCAGAGGGTTAGAGTGTGGCTGCCT